TCTAAAAAGCACGATTCCGATCAGGTTTTGAGCCGTCAGAAGCTCAATGTGTCCATCTTTCACGAAGATCGTAAACATACAATTTCTCGTAAATCCTCGTGTAGCAGAAAATAAACTATTAATATGTTTCATTAATACTCAACAACTCTTACGATTACTACTAAGATATAAAATAAAAGGGTCAAACGCGCACGTCACATCCGTACATTTAAGATTGATGTTCATTCAAATCTTCTTCACCTATAATGTCCTCAGTCTACATTTTTGAAATATCCTTAGAAACGTTCGTAATCATTTGTAAGTCTCTCCATGCGTGCCCCTAGCGTGTACATACTATTGACCACGACGGCACTATTAGTGACTCGCTCTACTGCTTTACCAGCACAGCCGTTGTTTACACCGTCCGACGAAGAGCTCAAGCCTATCACGAAGAGAAATGCAACAAAGATTTTCGTGCGAGCTCCCTCTGCCAATGTCGACGAGAAATTACTCGAATCACGAGGTGGCGAAACAGGAGTAAGCAAAATTGCAGAAATGCTTCCTCTCATTGATGGCATTGAGGATAGCTCGCAGCAGGCAAAGAAAGCTATGAGATGCTTTTAGAGATGATACGCACAAAGTTCTCGAAATACAGTCAGCACTTCGTACGGGATGGTAAAATGGGGATTCCGTCATCTTCAACTGCTTTGCACGATCAAACTTTGTCGCAGAAACAATACAATGACGGGTTGGCGTTTTTAATAGAACACAATGAAAACTTGGAGCACGCACAAGTCATTGATCAAGATGAAGTATTGAAATGTCTCGAGACTTTCGACATTACTCGTTTGGTGAAGTTGGTGATCGAACACAAATAAACCATTAAATTTACGGCGATGAGAAAGCTCTCGACATGACCAATATAAGTACAAAAGAGATTAGCAGCAGCATTACGAGTCAAGATAAGAGCGGAATGGAGGTCGTTGCGGCTCAACCAATCGAGAATTCTCATCAGCTGGTGGTTGAGCACAAAATCCCAGTCTCTGAAGAGATGAAATCTGACGAACATACGCCACCAGATTCGTTGTTGACCGAGGCATTTGCTACGTATTCACCAGACAAAAACCGTGTTCAACTTATGGAATGGAAAAATCAGGGCAAACTCGCAGAAGACTTGGTCGAAAAACTGTTGAATAATCCGCATGAAGAAGCAATACGCGATGGTTCGCTACTTAAGGCTTTCGTCGCGTATATTGACTTATGGAACATAAAGTTATCTCCCAAGAAACTGGACCTTTTCGAGTCATTAAAGACTCAATACGACGACT